TATCACTGAGCTTTGGTTGTTTTTGATATCCTATGTCTCTATTCATCTTTGGGCATAGTCTCCCTCTCAGGTATAGGTCTCAAGTTAGGCTAATCATTGGCTTTCAACTCTCACAAGTTGGGCAGCTCCATTGCCACAGCATATCTTGCAGCAAGACAAGTTGTAGGTCAAAGGCTTTGTATCTAGGTTGTTGTACCAGTCCCACCACTGGAAGGTTTCTGGTTACAGAAGATGAATGATTTAGACGTCATATCCTCCATTACTAGGAATCATCTCTGGGATCCTCCTCATAGAATCCTGGGAGTTCCTACTGCAAATACTTTCTACATTGTCTCCCAAGTACCTTTCAATTCCAGATGTCTCTCAATATTCTTCTCCAATCCCCTGAATTTATTCCCTCCTGTCCTGACTCACACTAGCCCCCAGTCAACCCACAAAATATATTACATTTCTGTTACTCAGATACATGCATCTCCTTATTTCTCTTCCTGTTATTTAGACTTTTTAGGTCAGTGGATGGTAGCATGTTTGTCATTTATTTAACAGCCAATACCTCTTTATAAGTGAGTACAAGCCATATTTGTCTTTCTGAGACTGGGTTACCTCACTCAGATTAAGTTTTTTCTAGATCCATTCATTTGTTTGAAAATTTCATGATACCATTCTTTTAAATAGATGAATAGGAATCCATTGTGAAAATGTACCACATTTTCTTTATCCATTCTTTGAGGGAAATCTAGGTTGTTTCCAGTTTCTGGCTACTACAGATAAAGCTGCTATGAGCATAGTTAGCGAGTGTTCTTGTGATAGGATGGAATGTCTTTTGGATATATGCCTGAGAGTGGTATAGCTGGGTCTTATGGTAAATCAAGTCTCAATTTTCTGAGGAACAAGCATATATATCTGTAGTATTTGTTACAAGTTTGTACTCCTACCAGCAATGGTGGAGTGTTTCCCTGGTTTCACGTCCTACCTACATGAGCTGTAATTTGTGTTTTTGATCTTAGCCATTCTAACAGGTGTAGGATGGAATCTAAAAGTTGTTTTGATTTGCATTACCCTCATGGCTAAGGGTGGCTAAAATTCTATATGTGTTTCTCAGACATTTGCAATTGCTGTTGAAAATTTCTGTTTAGATCTGTGTTGCATTTTTAATTGTATTATTAAGGAATGTCTAGTTTCTTGAGTCATTTATTCATTTTTGATATTGCTCTTCTCAGAGATATACAGTTGGTAGAAATATTTTCCTATTCTTCAGGCTGCCATTTTGTCCAATTGTTAGTCTGCTTTGCCTTACAGAAGCTTTCAGTTTCACAATGTCCCATTTATTAATTGTGAATTTTAGTGCCTGCATTAATGTGCTTTCTTCAGGAAGTTGTGTCTTATGCTCAGGTGCTCAAGACTATAAAAACCACTTTCTCTTCCATCAAGTTCACTGTACCTGGTTTATGTTAAGGTTGGGGATCCAGTTAATTTTATGTATTATTCAGGGTGATTAATATGAATCTATTAGAATTCTTTTAAATGCAGACATCCAGTTATACCAGCACTATTTGTGGAAGATGTTTCCTGTTTTTCATTGTGTATTTTTGGCTTCTTCAGATATCTGTAGGTGTGTGGGTTTACTCTGGGTATTTGATTCAATATTATTGCTCAACATGTCTGCTTTATGTTACTACTCGCAGTTTCATGTTTACAGCTCTGTATTAGAGCTTGAAATCAGGGATGGTGATACATTCAGATGTTCTTTCATTATTCCAGATTACTTTAGCTATCTTTGGTTCCTTGTTTTTCCATATGAAGTTAAGTAATATCCTTTCAACAATATATATAAATATTTATTTTTATTTTAAAAAATTATGCCTTATTTATATGAATTACATGATAAATATGAAAGCTCACAACATTTCATTACTTGTACAATTTCATGTTTCAGTGTATCAATAACTTAAGACCGAATTTTAAAAAGATTAAAAGATTAAAAATTAAAATTGACACTGTTTGGGTAAACCCATGCAACTAATGTCAACAGAAGAAGAAAGAGGGGAACATAAGGGATTATGGATAGAATATGCTCACTATGTATTACACACCTTAAATAAATTGTCTGTATGCCATACAGCACCATATATAAGGAGTACACATACTGAAAACATTTAAAATTTTAATATTAAATAAACATGTATTTATTCATGTGTTTATAGAAATACATACACACACACGTGTGTGTGTGTGTGTGTGTGTGTGTGTGTATGTGCAAATGTGACCTATATTACGTGTGCTGGCTTATGTTTTTAGTGATTTTTGCTGATCAATACATTTGTAAAATAACAAGCTACTCATTATGGTTCTAGTAATCTTCAAGAGAATGCCAGCAAACTCAAGAGGTTGTAGAAAAGAGACTGTGAGTCTAGATAGCTTGGTCACACAGTATGATCCTGTTTCTATATAATGAGATGGAGGTGGGTGTTGTTTAATGTGTGAGAAAAAGGGCTTCCCAGGGATTGCAGGTTTGTGCATTTGTGTCATTTCACTCCAAATGTCACATCTACTACACTTGCATAGAATATTGCTAAACTCAATTTTTTTTCATTTCTAAATTAAAGGTTTGTTCATTACTTTAAAAGGCAGGTTAGAATAAATGGAAAATATAATTGTGATATATATATATATATATATATATATATATATATATATATATATAATCTTAAAAATTTAAAATTAATGAGAAAATTGAAGTAGACATTATTTCCACCTTTGATGTTAAAAGATGAAGATGATGAAGCCTTAATATTTCATCAAAGTCATTTGATCACATAATATTTGAACTGGGGTGCTCAATGCTAAAGTTCTTTCAAGATGTTAGGGTTTTAACTAAAACTCTCCAGTGAGTTTCCTACTTCAAACCTCAAAGAGCCTCCTACTCCAATAGATCAAACTATGAGTTTGTGTCTTAGGACCTTTTCCATTATGGCCTTAACTTATCCTTTGAGCTTCTTCCTCTCTTTCTGATGTTTGCATCCTGCTTCTACTTTTTTACTTTTCTTTCAATTAAATTTAATTTTTTCTATATTCCAGATTTTATCCCATACCTGGTCTACTCTCTGTCCCCCATTCCATACCTCCTCCCTACCCCCTGTTTCCACGAGGATGTCCTCACACCCCAACTCCCACTCTACCAGACCTCTAAACTCCCTGGGGCCTCCAGTCTCTTGAGGGTTAGATGCATCTTCTCTGACTGAACCTAGACCTGGCTGTCCTCTGCTGTATATGTGTTGGGGACCTTATAACATCTGGTGTATGCTGCCTGGTTGGTTGTCCAGTGTCTGATGTATCTCGGGGGTCCAAGTTGAGACTGCTGGTGCTCCTACAAGATGGCTCTCCTCCTCAGCTTCTTCCAGCTTTTCCTTAATTCAACCACAGGGGTCAGCAGCTTCTGTTCATTGTTTGGGTGTAAATACTTGCATCTGACTCTTTCAGATGCTTGTTGGGTCTTTTAGAGGGCAGTCATGATAAGTCACTTTTTGTGAGCACTTCATAACCTCAGTAATAGTGTTGGGCCTTGGCACCTCTCCTTGAGCTGGATCCTACTTTGGGCCTGTTGCTGTACCTCCTTTTCCTTAAGCTCTTCTCCATTTTTTTCCTGTAGTTTGTTCAGACAGGAACAATTATGGGTCAGAGTTTTGACTATGGGGGATGGCGACCCCCTCTTTCACTTGATGCCCTGTCTTTCTGCTGGAGGTTGGCTCTACAAGTTTCCTCTCCCTACTCTAAGCAGCATTTCATGTAAGGTCGCCCCATGTGAGTCCTGAGAGTTTCTTACCTCCTAGGTCTCTGGTACATTCTGGAAGGCACCCCTACCTCCTACCACCTGAGTTTGCCTGTAAGATTTTATCCTTTTTGCCTGCCAGAGACTCTTTTAGGAGCTTCTCAAACATACCAAATTTCAGGGCTGTGTGTGAATAGACACAATACCTTGGTGGTGAAATATGACTCTGGGAAAGATTCCTCATCCGAAGATTATTCCTCCTTGAAGTCTACTCCTAGTCTTAAATTTGTGCTGTAGATGTATACATGTTACAGTTGGAAACTGGTTAAAGACTTCACAGCAGCACTCTGTGTAAGTACCTATAACTCCATGTGACACTATAAGTACTTCAAACAAAACATATGACGAATACCAAATAGCCTATTAAGTCTACTTGTCTGGATTTCAAGATTATCTAACATGTAAGCCTTCTGATTCCATTTGCTTGTAATTTTCAATCTAATTATCTGGATAGCTTCTTTATCTCAGAATTTCCTACTACTCATTGCCTTATCATTTTTCATAGTTCAAGGTAAATTCAGATAAGTTTCAAATCATTATATCAACAGAAGCTTTTCTAGACAAGGGTTGATATATCTCATTAGTAGGTACATCACTGACTCAGTGAGAACAGAGAATACTTGTCTTTTATCTGTGGTTGTCTATTTATATTACCTCCTCCCATGTCCTCAATAAAATGATATAAAAAGGGCTCAAAGGATGAATGATCATGTGTGGCAAGGTAAAAGAATCAGAACAAGCAGTAATCACAGCGTGCTGATTTATCCTCATTTCTGTTTTCAGGTAGGTGGGTAGAGACACTATGAGGTTACACTACAGTGTAGAATTGCCATAAGGACTTTTTCAGGTCCTTTATTTGTTGAAGAACTATTTCTGATTTTTAAAAGAAAAATCTGGTATTCCATTATGGATATTTCCTTCAAAAAATCTGCATATCCCCTGGATAAGTCAGGGGTTGGGAGAATAAGTAAGTCCTTAGATGTGCAATGAGCATTGCCATTTTCTAAGAGTTGTTCTGTGCTCAGCTTGTGTCTTGTTGATTCTGAAGATTCAAGGGAGAATAAGGGAAGAGTCCAGTAGAAGGCATAGAGTAGGTCACTTATCTAGAAGAGGTTTTCACTGGAAATGTGTTATAAATGGTCTTAAATATTTATTCCATAGATTTGATAAAATGTCTTCAACATGGATCAAATTTCTTTTTCTTCTGACTTTGGTACTTCTTAATTTTGGTGAGTAACATTTCCTACAATGCTTTTGCCTCAGAAGTCAGGTAATGCTGGAGGCATTCACAACAATTCAAGAATGGATGGACTTTGGGAATATTAAATTTCTGAAGCGAAATGAAACAAAGCATGTTACAAAAGTCTTTGAAAAATTACATTGTGAATGACCTCTATTCATTCTTCTTAGAGACCTTGAGAATAGAAATTGAATTAGAATGGGTGGTGTAAAAACCACAAAGTTCAGTAAGCATAATGCCAGCTGCTTACAAGACTGAGCTATGAGGATTCTTTGAGCTTACAAAGTTAAAGTCTACTGAGATAATGCAGTGAAAGGAAGTCTCTTAAAACAGTAAATGCAAAAGAAACACGTAGTGGATTTTTTTGATATTGTTGTTGCTATTATTATACACTGATTGAAGATATTTACCTCATCCTGTGCTGGAGCTCAGGTACTGTTTAAATGTTAATGAATGGGAAGTAATAGTATCTTCCTGTGCTCATGTTTCATGACACTATCTCCTATATAATTTTCAAATTGAATCCTCTAATGTCAAATTTGTTATAAAGAGATAACTCACTGGTTTTCTTTCATATACATATTCTGAATGTGAAAATGAAGTAATTGTGATGTATTAGATAGACCCATGATATTAATATCTTAATATCTCTTCAGAATATTAATGTTTTAATTTTCACTCATTGCTTCCTATGAGGCAAATCAGCTGATTTACAAGGGGTTATCTTCATAAGTTAACACTCAATTCATTTTTGATACTAATTTAAACTATACACTTTTTTGACTGAGAGATCTAGACAATTTTCCTAAATGCTATCTTCTGTCACTTGTTGACCATTGTTGTAGAAGTTCTGGCATGTATACTGTGAAAAAATTTTAACTGTAACCACTGAGAAGCAGGACACTGTCTGTTATTTTCATATATATATAGTCGCAGTACTTAAAAACCATGAAAATACTGTAAAAATACTCAGAATTTGTAAAATTTCAACAAAGGGCCCATGTATGGATAAACATTTAGAAATCCATTCAGTGGATTTCTGGAGAAATTTCAGTCAATAAGGTGCTGGCCTTTCAAACATGAGGCCCCAATTTCCATTCCTAAGTTAGCATGATTTAATTAGCCTGCAATTCTAGTCAAGGAAAGCAGAGTTAGAAGAATTTCTGGGGTTCACTGGCCAGCTATACTATCCTATTTGGTGAATTTCAGGCTTGTGTTTTACAAATACACTTCCACCACACACAAAAGTTGTATCACATTTGAGAAATAACACTTCAGCTTTTTGTCTGTTCTCCAGTAGTGCACAAAAGCATATGCAACTGTATAAAAAGGATCATGTGCACATAAGTGCACACACACACACACACAATTTACAGAGAAATCCATGCCTTTTTTCTACATGTTGATAATATTAATGTTAGAAATTTGAAAGCAGAACAGAAATGGATTATTCCCTTTACTAATGCTATCTAACCCTCAATTGACTTATATATCTCATACTTGTTCAAATTCAAGCCTCTCCTCCCTAGAGAATAGACCTAATTCACAATCTCTTTTCCCAGGGAGAGGCATCCTCTCTTTAGTATGGAGTTTTGTTGGTGTTGATCTGTAGAGATATTCTGTTTAGTCAGAGAGAATATGCAAAATAATTAGTTTGCTGTATTTTTGAGATGTGTTTCTGCCTTATCATGTGATGATCTATTTTAAACAGTTTCAGAACACTTGACAAAAATGTTTATTCTGTAGTTAGTGAAACATTATTTAACTCCAGTGTTTCTCTGTTTTTTTCTTTTTTTTTTGGATCTGGTTTACTTGTTTCTTGGAGTGAGTTGGGTATTGAACTCACCTGTTATTACTATGTTGGAGTTAATCTGTCACTTTTTATTTAGCAGTACTTTTATTTCTGTGGACAGGCATATCTCTGCCTAGTCCTTAAATTATCTTCTTAAAGGATAGTTCCTTTAATCAGTTAGAAGTGACGTTTTGTAAATTCCTTGTAGAAAAATATTAGTTTGAAGTTTATTTTGTCAGCAATCTATTTATAGACTTTTCTATTTGTACCTCGAACTGATTCTATATCATTCAATTATTATTTTGTTTTCTTATAATTCATTCAAAATTTTTTCATATTCTTTAAATATATATTCCCATATGTGTCAATCCAGTGCTAGTACATACAGGTGCCAGCAAGAGGGTATATTAAGGAAAAGAAGTTCATGGTGTCTTTAAATGAAGGGTTCAGATATAATAAATGATCAATAACTGCCATTTCCATATTTGAAATCACTCTGTGAATATATTATTTTAGTACTGTGACAAATATGTCCTTGCCTCTAATATCACACGAGTAATGAATTAGCATATGTCACTTTAAGTATTATTGATACGACTTACAACAGTATATAGAGTTTTCTCTTTCAACCTTTTTATATTGTTTATTTGTATAATTTGTAGGTGTGCATGTGTTCACATATGCCATGTTGAAGTCAGAGAACTACTTTTATGACTTGGTTCTCTTTCATTATGAAGGAATTGGGATATCAAACCTAGGTCCTCAGTCTTTTTGGCCAAATCATCACACTTCTACTAAAATTTTTCTCTTTTCTTCATCCATTGCTTGCAGAGACTCCTGTTAAAAGTGCAGAGGTAAATGAACATTGATCAATACGGAAATTTAAAAAGTAAACTTTTGGCTTTTGAAATGTTACCAAACAAAATGTACAAGACAACATTGCAACAACCAAAACAACGAAAAATATTTGTTTTATTATTAAACAAAGGTTAAAGAGTAGTCGTGTCAACAATATAAAACTACTTAATGTTATAGACAAGGTAAAACATTCCATAATTCATAAATTCTATCAATATACAAAATCCTTACTGTATACAGTTACATTTTGTGTTTTAAAATACGTTAAAAGTGGAATGATTTTTCCTAGAAAAAAAGACCAACAGTGATAAAAATATCCATTTCAAGTTAGGTTAAACATCAGTTTTGATCCAGTAAGACATTGGAATATTACATAAAAGTTAAGAACTTTTATTCCGAAAAAAATACAAAAATAACACACAAATTTGAAAACCAGATTCATCTGAATTTCATAATGTTCTCTGTGTGTACAAATATTATCAATAATAAATTTTATCTCTGTATATATGTATATATTATAAATATGTAAAGACACTCACATATGTCATAGCCTATAAAGTAGAGGTATTAAGTATAATAGAACTACAAATAAATCATCAAGTTTTATGATTTTTCTCAATACAAAACAGTGTAGGAGATTTTATCTGAGTATAAGGTGAAGTTGGAGAATGATAGCCTAATTATGGTATTACAGTCACTTATTCACATTGTTTCAGAATATAAGGCTTATAAAATTATATCAATAACTTATCATGTGTAAGTAGAATTATAATGTCAATATTTATATTTAATACTTAATACTGAATCACTTTATTAAGTAGAATTTTTCTAGCAAAGATCATTATCTGATATATTTTATGTTGTCTTTTTATGTCTCACAGCCAAATTGCTCTCAGTATACGAATATGAAAAACTGCAGCAAAGCCCTGAAACCAATTTGCGCAGATGATCGAATCTCCTATTATAATGACTGTCACTTCTGCATAGAAAAACAGTAAGAATGCATAATTTAATATTAGATCTCTTAAGTTAGTGAGGAAACAGTCAGGAACTGATGAAAAATCCTGTTCCTGTTAACATAAATATGACATAGCCCAAATATAACCACTTTCACTAAAGAAAGCTCAAGCTTCCACTTGTAAATTTCCTTGAAGTTCTGGATTTTAGTAGTTTGTATATGGACTTATTAGCAGGATTCTACTGAATACTCTTCCATGGCATTGACTGATTAATTTTACTTGATCTTTATGAAGGGAAACTAGTAGACTAACCCAATGAAATGCTGTAAGTTCAAGCCTTGGCACTGTTCTAGTCGCATGTGTTGCTATGGCAAATGCCATGAAAAAACAACCATAGGAAAGAAAGGATTTATTTTAGTTAACAGGTTACAGTCTATCATTGATAGAAGTCGAGTCAGGAAATCAAGTAGGACCTTGAAGCAGAAGCTAGGGAGGAACATAGATTGCTGGCTCACTTTCAGACTCATATTCAACTTGCTTTCAAATAGATCCTAGATCCAGAAAACTGTGCCACATACAATGTGCTGTGGTTTCCTACATTATTTAACAATCAGTACAATTTTCCCTAGTCATGTTCATAGATCCATCTGATTTGTGCACTGAAGAATTCCCTATCAGGTGATTTTTTGGCTGTATCAAGTTATCACATAAAGCTAACTAAGTTAGGTGCTCAATGGTAATTCCCACTCTTGAGCAAGACATTTAAGTACAGAATTTTGAAATTTACCACAGTTGGATCCAAAGCTATGGGGGGACATCTGTAGTGATCTACTTTTTCCTCTTTAACTTGTTGCCAGAACTAAGCCTTCAAGTCCAGAGCAGTCTATGGTACTTCCTTCCAAATTCCCTTTTTGCTCCATCACTGATGATTGTATCCCCCTTTTATTACTTAGGACATGTTTAAATACTATGTTGAATACTATGTTGTTAGTGCTAGCAAAATCACACATATGCTCTCTTTGATTAGACTCATTTCACATTTTTTTTCTCTCTCAAGTGCTTTCTTTCATAAAAATTTGTATTCAGTTAGTTCCATGAATTGATTTTTCCCATTTTGGAGAAAAGATTCCCTTTAAGGGTAGGGAGTAGGCGATGCCCAGCTGCTTATAGATCAGGTGACAGAGACACCCCATACCAAATCATGTTAATGATCTTTCATTAAAAAGTAATTATATAATCCTCAATTAAATTAAAATGGTAGTTCAAATATTTATTTTTTCTTCTCACTTCTTTACAGAAAGAAAAAACTTAAATATAGATATCATGGTATTTGTACTTAAAAATAATGGTTTCATGATGGTTCACACAATCAAGTAGAATGTTCTCAACCAGGGCCTTAAATTCCTAATCAACAAATGAAGTCGTCTATGATTCATAATGTGGAAAAGAGAAGACTGAAGAATCTTTCCAATGTCAACTTGAGATTGAATGATTTTATTTTCAGTGATTTGATGGTGATATGAATACCTACTTTCTTAATTTTTGTCTTACATTACATAAACTGTGAGTTTTAATCATATATGTTCTAATAAATAAATAAAATGTTTGATAATTTCAATACTATTAAGGACTCTTTTTGTGGGAGCTGTTTATTAAGATCAAGTGGTGATATTTTGATAGTTATAATCATTGAGAAAATGATTCTATCAGATTGAGCTGATTGTAGGCAAGCCTGTGAGGCATTTTCTTCAATAAGGATTAATGTGAGAGGGCTAAGGGTACTGGAAGCAGTGTCTTCAGTTCCAAAGAGTAGTTCTGTTAGGGAAAGATATAGTATCAAGACTACAGACAGACATAATAGGACTATGGAAAAATAAATTTTATGTGCATGCTTCAAATGTTTGATAGACAAAGAAACCCTGAGGAAAACAACTATAGACAGTACTTAGATAATTAACCTTCTTATATACAGAGGTAAAAACTGACTTCCCCAATCCCCCAAAAAGAAAGACAGATACAGCATTGAAATAGAAATACTAGACTTTATTCTGTTTTTGATTACTCTTAGTGAGTACATACCATATTTATCCTTTTGGGTCTGAGTTACCTCAAGATGATATTTTCAACTTCTATCCATGTTCTTGGAAAATTTATGATGTCCTTGTTTTTAATAACTGAATTGTGTAAATGAACCACATTTTCTGCATCTATTCTTTGTTATAGGAGCAATTGGACTATTTCAAGTTTTTGGCTATTAGGAATAAAGCTGCTATGAATGTATTGGAGCACATGTTCTTATGATATGGCAGAGTATCTTTTGGGTATATCCCTAGGAGTGGTGTAGCTGGATCTTTATGTAGAACTATTTCCACTTTTCTGAGAATCCACCAGATTGATTTCCAGAGTAGTTTTACAAGTTTACAATCCTGCCCTCAGTGGGAGAAATGTTCTTTCTTTACCTCCTTGCCAGAATGGCCTTTCACTTGAGTTTTTGATCTCAGACATTCTGATTCATATAAGGTGGTATATCAGGTTCACTTTGATTTGCATTTCCTTTATTACTAAGGATGTTGAATATTTCTTTGAGTCCTAGGAGAATGAATAGAAATCTGCAACTGTCAGAGATTTGGCAGGGGTGCACATGGTGATCTTCTAGAATTTTCAGAGACCTGAGATGGGGAAGTCCACCAGGAGTCAATGAGTAAACTTAGGTTAGATGCCTAATGGTGGGGTCATGGAAGCTGAAGCATCCATTTCCTATATTCAGGAAGGACCTTTAGTGAAGGAATAAGGATACCAACCCACCCACAAAACTTTCAACTTGAAAATTTTCCAGTCTAAAAAAAATGTAGGGACAAAAATGAAGGACAAACTGAAGGAATGGCCAACTAATAACTGGACCAACTTGAGACCCATCCCATAGACATACACCAATCCCTGACAGTACCAATGATACTCTGTTATTCTTGCAGAGAAGAGTCTAGCCTAACTGTCCTGTGAGATGCTGTACCCAGTACCCAGCTGGTACAGATGCAGATACCCATAGCCAAAGACTGGACTTAGGTCAGGGACTGTGATGGAAGAATCGAGGGAAGGATTGAAGGCTCAGAGGGGGATGGGAACACCACAGGAGGACAAACAGAGTCAACTAATCAGATCATTTGGGAGCTTTCAGAGACTGAGCCACCAACTGAAGAACACACAGGGGCTATAATGAGATCCTCCACCACATATGTAGCAGACATACAAATCAGTCTACATGTGGGACCCTGAGCAACTGGAGCAGAGTATTATAGCAATAGTCTGACTCTGGTATCTGTTCCCTAACAGGACTACCTTTTCTTCCCTCAGTGGGAATAAAGTTGGTATGAACACGGTTGAGCAAGTATTCTTATGATAGGATGGAACATCTTTTGGCTATATGCCTGAGACTGGCATAGCTGTGTCTTATGGTAATAAATTCTAAATTTTCTCAATATTCATAGAGGTTGTTTAAGTTTGGCATCCCACCTGCAATGGTAGAGTGTTTTCCTGGCTCCACACCCTAGCTACATGAGCTGTAACTTCTATTTTTCATCTTAGCCATTCTGTTAGGTGTATGATGAAGACTGTTATTTCCAATATTAGATTGATTTCTAGACCAGTACATGACTGAATCTGAATAACTGATCATCTTTAAGAAAAACACGAGAGTCATTATAATATCTCTTTTTGATTCTCTGTCCTACAAGGTCTAAAAATTTGAGGCAAGGCAGCTTATCCCATCTGGGATATAGGCAAACAAAGGTGGGTCCGGAACATATATCCAATACAGCTCCCCAGTCACCCTTGTCAGGGCACTCAGCAAGCTCACAGGTCAGTATCATTCTTTGTCTCAGCAGCAGCATGGCTCACTAATCATTCTGGCAGCCACCACGGTCGTACAGAAAAAGCACAAACATGTCCTCTTCCCCATAGTAGATACCTGGTTGGGATCATGCCGTATGCCAGTAAGTAGATCTTTCGTTTCACCTAGGGATAAGTATATCTAGTTATAGGGTGCCGTAGACACTCAGCAGAAAGTTCCTTGGCATCCAATTTTTAAAAACAAAAAAATTAAAATAAAAAGAGCATGATTTAAACAAATTTGTAGTGTATAAGGACATACCTCCCCTTTTTTATTTTATGAAGATATTGTTTTCAGGTTCCATGGTCCTCTTTCACAATACCTTGTCCTTGAGTATTATAAGGAATCCCTGTAATAAATTGTTGACAAAAAGTCTCAACTGCTCAACTATAATTGCCAGCTCCATTATCTGTTTTTTTTAAATTGGATATTTTGTTTATTTACCTTTCAAATGTTATCACCTTTTCCCATTTCCCCCCAAACCCCTTATCCCATCCCCACACCTCCTCCCATCTATGAGGGTGTGCCCCCACCCATCCACTCATTCCTACCTCCCTGCTCTTGAATTCCTCAACACTAGGGCATCCAGTCTTCCATGGACAAAGGCCCTCCTTTCCCACTGATACATGACAAGGCCATCCTCAACTACCCATACAGGTGGAGGCAGGAGTCCCCTTTGTGTTCCCAGGCTGGAGGTTTAGAGCCTGGGAGCTCTGATTGGTTGGTATTGTAGCTCTCTACATGGGGCTGCCAGCCCCTTCTGCTCCTTCAGTTTTCTTTCTAACTCTTCCATTGGGGAACCTGTTATCAGTTCAATGGTTAGCGAGCATCTGCCTCTGTTTATGTCAGGCACTAGCAAAGCCTTTCAGGAGACAGATATGTCAGTCTCCTTTTAGTGTCTACTTCCTGGCATCAACAGTGTATGCATTTGGTGACTGTACTTGGGATGGGTTCCCAGGTGGGGCTGTTTCCAGACAGTCCCTCCTCCAGTCTCTGTTCCACAGTTTGTCTCCATACTTGCTCCTGTGAGTGTTTTTTTACTCCTTCTTAAGAAGGACCAAACTATCCATACTTTGGTTTTCCTTCTTCTTGAGCTTCATGTGGTCTGTGAGTTAAATCATAGGTGTTTTGAGCTTTTGGGCTAATATCCACTTATCAGTGAGTGAATACCATGTATGTTCTTTTGTGATTGTGTTACCTCACTCAGGAAAATATTTTCCAGTTCCATCAATTTGCCTAAGAATTTCATGAATTCATTGTTTTCAATAGCTGAGTAATATTCATTGTGTAAATGTACCACATTTTCTGTATCCATTCCTCTGTTGAAGGACATCTGGGTTGTTTCTAGCTTCTGCCTATTATAAATAAGTCTGCTATGATCATAGTGGACCATGTGTCCTTGTTATACTTTGGAGCATCTTTTGAGTATATGCCCAGGAGTGGTATACCTGGGTCCTCAGGTAATACTATGTTCAGTTTTCTGAGGAATTGCCAGACTGCTTTCCATAGTGGTTGCACCAGCTTACAATCTCACCAACAATGGTGGAGTGTTCCTCTTTCTCCACATCCTCACCAGCTTCTGCTATCACCTGAGTTTTTGATCTTAGCCATTCTGACTGGTGTGAGGTGGAATCTCAGGGTTGTTTTGATTTGCATTTCCCTGATGACTAAGGATGTTGAACATTTCTTTAGGTGCTTTCGACCATTCAAGTTTCCTCGGTTGAGAATTCTTTCTTTAGCCCTGTACCCCATTTTTAAATCAGGTTATTTGATTGTTTAGAGTCTAATTTCTTCAGTTCTTTGTATACCTTGGATATTAGCCCTCTATTGGATGTAGGATTAGTAAAGATCCTTTCCCAATCTCTTGGTTGCTGTTTTGTCTTATTGACAGTGTTCCTTGTTTTACAGAAGCTTTGCAGTTTTATAAGGTCCCATTTGTCAATTCTTGATCTTAGATCATAAGCTACTGGTGTTCTGTTCAGGAACTTTTCCCCTGTGCCCATGTGTTTGAGGCTCTTCCCCACTTTCTCTTCTATTAGTTTCAGTGTATCTGGTTTTATGTGGTGGTCGGTCCTTGATCCACTTGGACTTGACCTTTGTACAAGGAGATAAGAATGGATCAATTTGCATTCTTCTACATAGTGGCCTCCAGTTGAATTAGCACCATTTGTTGAAAATGCTGTCTTTTTTCTACTGGAAACTTTTAGCTCCTTTGTCAAAGATCAAGTGACCATAGGTATGTGGGTTCATTGCTAGGTCTTCAGTCCTATTCTGTTGATCTTCCTGCCTGTCTCTGTACCAATACCATACAGTTTTTTTCACTAGTGCTCTGTAGTACAGCTTGAGATACTCAATGGTGATTGCCTCTGAAGTTCTTTTATTGTTGAGAATAGTTTTCCCTATTCTGGATTTTTTTGTTATTCTAAATGAATTTTGAGAATTGCTCTTTCTAACTCAATGAGAAATTGAGTTGGAATTTTGATGGGGAATGCACTAAATTTATAAATTGCTTTCTGCAAGATGGCCATTTTTACTATATTAATCTTGACAATCCATGAGCATGGGAGATCTTTCCATTTTCTGAGTTCTGCTTTGATTTCCTTCTTCAGGGACTTGAAGTTCTTGTCAGACAGATCCTTCACTTGCTTGATTAGATTCACACCAAGGTATTTTATATTATTTGTGACTATTGTGATGGGTGTCATTTCCTTAACTTCTTTCTCA